GTTCTTGGATGGCCCTTCAGCACCATTTCAAGAGTCTGCAGAAATTATTCGAGCCTCACTTCAGGTAAATGGATAAAAAATTGATTTGTGTGTAAAAATTAACTATTCATATGCATAATTTCAGGCCTTTCTTTTTGTCACATCATAGACATGCTATTTCCTCACATAACTGCATAAAAGTGTTAATGGTTGGTTGATGCACAGTTTTTCAAAATAATAGTTAAGTATGCCAAAGGTGTTGAAATAGAAAACTAGTAATGTTTTGTAATCTACACTTAGTTAAAAAAAAGAAAATTATTTTGGTAATACAGTGATAACTATTGTACATTTTCCTAAAAAACAGAGTACAAATTACACATATATATACACACAGTGTTCACATGAATATTTTTTTCAAAAAGTATGCCCTTTCTGATTGACAGTTTTTAGCTTCTTTTTACAAATGCTACAGAAAAAGTAGCTGAAAATAATACATAATTAATCAGATGTTTCATTTAAAAATTTTGATGATGTATATTGTTTCACTTTACCTTTCACTAGGTAGACATTAGTGTCTAGCCTTGCTACATGCTATCCAAATTCTGACATTTGCATGTAGGTGTCAAATAACCTTCTAAGCATATACATTAGTCAGGTTGATGATATCATGCAAATGATAGAAATTTTTTGCTTATAAATAAGTTAAAATTGTAATGTTCTGAAATACTAAATATTGTGTTAGTCTATTGTGATCTAAGACTGAAATAATTGGTATGTTAGGTTTAATTATAAATTACCATGTACCTCTGACTAACCTTTTTTAGTTTCTTTGTGTTTTATGCAACTTAAAATGTATAGGACAGTACTATTTTTTTTTTTTTTTGTTTTGTACCTATCCTACAATATTCCAAAATTTTTCAAACAGTCTGTTCCAGTGCTCATGAGCCAAGCTATTCGTCCTTTGATGAATTCAGTAGCTGAGGCTATTGAAAAAATTATTTTGACTATGCACAAGGAAGACTTCTCAAAGTAAAACTCTTTTGGTTGATTTAATATTTTATATATGAACTATAAATAATTTCAGTTGTTAACACCATTCATTTCTATTCTGCACTGTGTGTGTGTATTCTATAGATCAATTAAAACAGGGTTTACTATATAAGTTAATATAGTGGAATATGTTACATTGTAATATTCTAGCATAATATCCATTAACTTGTTTACCACTTCAAATGTACAGTAACGTGTGATATTATATAATGTCATATTACATAATGCATTATGGTACTTTTCCTTTATATGAGAAAATATTATAATTATTGAAAAGGATCAGAGATCTTTTTTAATTATCAATGCAGTATTTATTTAAATCCAACACACTTTTTAATTAAGACTGTTTAACTTAATATAATATACTCCTTAGCTATGTTGTATTTGTGTTTATTTCACTATTACAGAAACAATTTCTCATCATATATCTAATCAGGAGAACTGTTTCCAGTTAAATTTATTACTCATGTTCATAGTACACATTATTAGATAACCTATATTTTGAAAGTGTCCCTGTATAGGAAGTAGGGTAAATACAGGTTATTAACTGTCAACCTTTTTGGTGTGAAAATTCATACACTGATTTGCAGGCTCAAGTGACAAGCAATTTACATGTGATTCCATTGTTAAGAAATGTTAAAAATGTTACTTTTATGTCTAAAATAAACCCTCTGATTCAACGGGAAGTTTGAGAGCTTATAATGCTAAAATTTGGGGTATGATCCCTGCAGTGAGTACAGCTTAGATAGCCATTTCTGCAGCTTTACAGCTGCTCATTTAAAATAAGTCTAGAATGACATGCACAAAGATCAGTATAAAACAATTTAAATAATTTGCTTTGATAACATTCCATTTTCATGAAAGTTATTATCAAATAAATAATTTTACATGAATATCTTTATTGAAATGTCAGCTCTAAAAATTTGTTTTAGAAGACATAAAGAAAGCTTACATGTAGCTTCTTGACACTGATAGAATTAAGTGTATGTAAAAGAAGCATATTATAATTTACCTTGAGTTTTTCATAATGCTATGCAGTAGTTAACTGTTTGATTCTAGCCTACTCTTAGTTTGTTCTAAACTAACTTTTATATGTTTTTGTCTTGAGATTATTCTTTCAAACTGGATTTTTTTTGTACTTACATTTGAGTTATATTGCTTTTCAAAGTTGCATATTATAAAACAAAGTGAATAACTAAGCTAATTTTTCAACTTTGAAGTTAACACTAGAAAAAATGGGGTTTTAAGACAAACTAAATAACAAGTAATTTTTGTTAAGGAGATTGTGAAAGATCTTGCATACTTTCATTTTGGCATACTGCTGCATGTAAGTGTGTGATTACTACTTCTGAGAATGGATCCAATTAGAGTTACTCTTTCATTTTTGTGTCTTTCGCCATAGTGCAGATCTTTAATTATATAATACTTTCATTACATCAGGAATGACAGCAAAACACCTAAGCATCTCTCTTCTTGATACAGATTGTTAATTGTACATTACTTTTATTAGGTCTGGACAGGAGAGTGACAACAGCACACCTGAACCTCCTTGTTCTCTCTATATGAAAGAGTTACAGAGTTTTATATTTCGAGTTAAAGGACAATATTTTTCCATTTTACCAGTGTGTGTTTTAGTGCAGAAAAAGTAAGTGTTTTGTGGGGTACATCATTTTCTAAAATATATGTTGCAACTGTTTCATAAAAGTCTCAAGAGATTCTTTTATTTTTATTGATAACATAATGTAATACTTGTGTGTGGTATGTGACATTGCATATATAGGGTAAGTTTGTTTTTTCAAAAAATACTTTAGATGCTACTATAAATCTTCTGTGGTTAGTTTTAGTAGACCTTTGTGAATAACTACTGTTTCATAAGTTTGGTAAAATATTGTAAAAGCCCATTAGTGAGAAATATTAACATGGATTTCTTGTACCAGTAACTTTTAACTCGATTGTCCTGGGTATCCTTTACTGTGCAAGACACAAGGTTTTAGTGTCTTACATCCAACATTTTATTAAACTACTTTTTGTTTATGTTACACCAATTAGAATAGCATAAAATCTAAGCTAATGATCCATATCTTAATAGTATACAGGTTTTAAGTTCTTAATTCTACAAGGCAATATTAAAAAATATCATGAATTTTCACTAGTGTGACTCACGTGACACATGTTCTCTTAGCATGTTATCATCTCTAGTTTATCCATTGTCCCTCAAAATGTGTGAAATTAAACATAAATTACTCTCTATAAAATTGTTATTGCTCAGACAAACCATAATTTTTA